AAATAAATAAATAAATACAAAAATTAGTTTGGTGTGGTTGCGGGCACCTGTAATCCCAGCTACTCGGGAGGCTGAGGCAGGAGAACTGCTTGAACCCAGGAGGCGGAGGTTGCAGTGAGCCAAGATCCCACCACTACATTCCCTCCTGGACGATAGAGCGAAACTCCGTCTCAAAAAAAAAAAAAGAAAGCCGGGCACGGTGCGTGGGTGTCTGTGCCTTTCCCTACTCCGCTCAGGCCACGCGCCGTGTGTGGAAATCAGACTGTCAGGGCGTCAGTCAGGGCCAGGTTCAGTCAGTCAGGAAACTTGGGGCCAGGCCTGATGAGAGGCAGCCTCGATGGCAAAAGACAAGTGGCCGGGTTTGGGTCCGCTGGAGAAGGCTGGGATCGCAGCCGTTCTCTGCCCACTTGTCCGCCCGCCCCACGCGCGCGAAGGAAACAAGCGTAGCGTACTCCCTGTCGCTCCATTCTGTCTTTTCCCGCCTTCTAACTGGCACGCTTTGCGCATGCGCCGGCCCCGCCCCTGCTGAGCTCTGCTCTCGCGCTTGTGTCCTGGGGTGTACCCCGAGCCCCGCCTCCTTGAGAACTCTGCGACCCGCCGGGCGGGGCCGACCGTTAAGCGGCGGTTTGGCGGTCCAGGGGCAGCGCGCGCAGGCACTGCCGCAGAACAGGAGGGTAGGCTACGCGTGCGCGTTTGGCCACCCGTGTGTGGCTGTGGGAGGCTTCAGCGTCCCATGCAGCGCCCGGGTTATAGGTATCTCAGACAGTCCTGTATTTATTCTGTACTTTATCCGCTCTAACTTTACGCGTTCTGCCTTGGGAAATATTCTCAGTAACAAAGTCTTTTTTTTTTTTTTTTAAGACGGAGTCTTGCTCTATCGCCAGGCTGGAGTGCAGTGGGGCAGTCTCGGCTCACTGCAATCTCCACCTCCTGGGTTCAAGCGATTCTTCCGCCTCAGCCTCCCGAGTAGCTGGGACCAGAGGCGCGTGCCACCATCCCTGGCTAATTTTTGTATTTTTAGTAGAGACGGGGTTTCACCATGTTAGCCAGATGGTCTCGATCTCTGGACCTCGTGATTTGCCCACCTCGGCCTCCCAAAGTGCTGGGATTACAGGCATGAGCCACCACGCCTGGCAAATTTTTTTTTTTTTTTTTTGAGACAAGGTCTTGCCCGTCGCTCAGGCTGGAATGCTGTGGTGCGATCAAGCTCACTGCAGCCTCTACCTCCCCCAGGTTCAAGCGATCCCCCTGCCTCAGCCTCCTGAGTAGTTGGGACTACCAGTGTCATCCACCATGCCTTTCTAATTTAAAAATATTTTTCTGGTGCGTGCAGTGGCTCGCACCTGTAATCCCATCACTTTGGGAGGCTGAGGCGGGTGGATTACCTGAGGCCAGGAGTTCAAGACCAGCCTGGCCAACATGGCAAAACCTGTCTCTACTAAAAATACAAAAATTAGGGCTGGGCGCGGTGGCTCAAGCCTGTAATCCCAGCACTTTGGGAGGCCGAGGCGGGTGGATCACGAGGTCAAGAGATCGAGGCCATCCTGGTCAA